CCTGTGATAATCAGTAGTCTAGGATTCTATATGCTGGCTGACGAGCATCCGCATTGAAAGGTACAATCAAAAGATTCTGTCAGGGGATTGGCACTCAGAAACAGGGCATCCGCTCTCTCTCTCTCTCTCTCTCTCATTAGTCTCTGTTGGTGGAAGAATCTGATGTCACAAAATATAAGGACAAAAACCAAAAAAAATGCATAGATTTGTATTTAGGATAAGGGATTATGGGGAAAAGACAAGATTATCTTCTTTATGATATGTGTGTCTAACTCTGATATCATTTTTTTTCACATTGTAGCATTCATTGATTTCATACAAAGTGCCATTATTCTAAGTTTCTGTGGGAAGTACACTGATGTGGTCATATATTAGAAGATGGTAGTCAGTTTGGTATTTTTATCTTTGTTTGAAATAAAGGTATTTCTAATCCAGGAGCTAAAATGGTTGATTTGGTGGTTTGTATAAGAGAAAATCATGTATCTCCAGTGCGACATGATTTTTTGTTATACAGAGATACTAACTGTAACATGTGTCAACTTGCTATTTGTGTCTTTGTATAAAATATATGGGTCTTTCAATCGTGTCCTGATATTGGTTTAGGACCCATTGTACACAGGATAAACTCGGGATTTTCTGCTGTTTGTGCAGAGATGTGCAACGTCTGTTGTGGCAACTTCCCCATTTGTTTGACAGTTGCTGGATCTGATCTGCTTACGGGAGAGAGAAATGCCTCTTCATTTTAAAGATCTCCTTGCGCTCATTTTTACACTGCGGCTCTCACAGTATTTGACTGTGACGTGAATTAGTCTTTGTGGACAAGAGAGATTCCTTTTCGTTTGTCATATCGCCATGGTGTCATGCTACCTTAGTTTCATTGTGTGTGTTAAGGTGCAAGAAGAGCAGAGCGTATCCTTTACACTTATCACTATTGCAATCACTCTAATTTATTGCTAAGGACATTTATGTATCATTTCCATTTTAATGTCCTCATATTCCAAGATAAAATAATTTAATAAAACTAATAACAATAGAAATTGAGAAATGAATAAAAAAATGAGGGAGAATTCTAATTTCATTCTATCAGTATGCTTCTGTCAATATCTGTTTGGTTTATGATAAAAAAGATTCCACTTTTTGTCATAAGAAGGTTATCGGAAAGATGTTCCCATGTAGCTAGGGGTTATCTGCAACTGCCAAGGATAAACACAGGTTATAATTGATTGTATTTTATTCATTCTTGACACCATCATTATCATCCTGGCATGCTTGTGTAACCTCTGAAGAAAAGTCTCCTGTCTCCATCTTCATGGGAATAATTTCGCCTTAAGACCCTACCTCCCTGTGTGTTTTATACCCCATGTGCGTCTGGGGTGTTCATTCTGTCATTCAGGAATAAAGTAATTTTAAATGTGTATGTTTAAGCTTAGAGTAGGTACTTGATTGAAATGACAAAACATGAGTAAATACAATTTTTGCAGATAAAATAATCCCTCATCATTGTACTACTACTGAATATTGGTATGTTAGAAAGGGGGGGGGGGGTAAGAAAAAGGGGGAGGGGGTGTAAAAAGGGGAGGGAGGGGGACTAGAGACAGGGGGGATTGGTTTGTTGGGAGAGAGGGCACTTAAAAAGAGTAAACTCAGAGAGACATGAATGAATTATTGAAAAATTTTGAAGATAATCTATAGTGAGTCATGTAGTTAGATAAAGTAAGAGATGAATGAAAAAGATGGATCAAAATTTGGAAAAAGAAACAGTTATCTAAACATATAAAACAGGTGCAACATCTCAAAACAAAATTACCCAAGTACCCACCAGTATTAATGAGTCATTCAAAGTTTAAAAGAACTCAGGAAATTAAAAGGTGTTAATTGTCATACTTTTAAAAGCAAGGGGGGTAGGAGGAGAATTGGAGAAGGGGACATAAAAGATAGATGAGATTGTGCAAAATTGTCATATATTAATTCTAATCTACATCAATAAGGTACCAGTAGACCCCCTCCCAAAATCTTGCCATTTCCACAAACAGCCAAACAGCGCCCTTTTAACCATTTGTTTGCACTGACAGAAGATCCCCTGCCATAACTATTTAACCAAGTCTTTTAATGGCGTTGTCACCAAAGTTGTTTACACTTTCTACCATAATTCCCTCAAAGTGGAAGCACGGAGGGGATTACACAATACTGATCGGACATCGTAGACAGTCCAAATTTTAGAGGAGGTCCTCGGTCCCCATTGTCACTGGTCCATTAGTTGACAATGGAGAATCGTTGGCGTAGAGCGACAGACGACATAATAGATCCACCAGGGGGATACGCCGTCACCTGGCTAAACAGACTCTGTAAATATGGTTTTCAATAAAGGATGAGGGGCCTGTTAAACATGGCCACACAAAAGGGGTTGAATCTCCGTGATAGTTATGAAAACATTCCCCCTGTGTCAACACATGGTTTGTTAAATACTTTCATCGGTTATGTCATTTGGCATAACCGTTTAAAACTTTGAGTGGGTGTGGGAATGTATATAGGCATTTGATGACCTGTTTAACCAACCAAAATTTCCACATTTGATCTTTTATTTTCCTGTTGCATCATTTGGTTGTATAATTTGATCTTTTATCGGAGAACTTGAAAGGTGTAAGATGGAAAATTCAACCAATGGTCCCATTGATCTTATTATTCACAAGTTACATCATTGGGTACGTAATATGTGCAGTGTTTTTGGAAAGTGTGAGAAAAACAATTAATAGGGATGGACTTTCCAATTAAATTTTCATATGATCTTTAATCGACCAGCTTCCTAGCTCATCCAGTGTTATAGATCTCAAAGCTCTGAGCTTTTAATAAGGAAATTAAAAGTTGCATGAAATACGCCTCGTGGGCATTAGTTATCTGTAATCCCATTTACTCCTTTGGCAAAAATTTTGTCAATGAAATTGGATAAAAAATTTAAATAAGATAAATATTCCTGTCAATTTCAATTCCAATAAATTTTCAGTAGTCCACTAAAATTTTGTAATTATTTATGTAAAATATTTCTCTCTTTTTTACAACATTGCTTCAATATGTCATAGGATACCACTGATTTATCTTGAGTCAAGATGGAAGACATGTTTTGGTCTCGAGTTCTTTGCCTGAACCGACCCATGGGAGTAAAGCTTCACTGCATCTTCCTAATGGACAGTCTTACATTTTTTTTTTTCGTCAGTTACACCCATGAGCAGTTAACAAGTCTTGCTCCTCATGTGATATTTTATGTACTAATATTTTCCCCCGATTGATCCTCCGTCCTTCCATTGATTGATATGATTAATTAATTCTTCCATAATCTAGTCTTTGGACGGCGGGGGTAAATGCCAACAATGAGACCTACGAGCTGTGAAATTGCTTCTACTTGAGCAGACAAAGGAACGCAATTGACATGTTGTTAAGGGAATATTTACTGTTAGGGTTGACATGTGAGGGTAGATAGTTGTCCCCCTATGGCCATCCCTGACGCCTCCTTAGCAGCACAGTTATGACAATTGGCCAATAACTTTGTAAATTAATCTAGTCTCAGTGCAAATTTGTCATATTTTTCTCTTGCTTTATGTACTGGTAAGAGAGGAAGTGAACCTTGACATTGGAATATATATAACAATGTTAGTTTATTTTATTTCTTATGTATTTTTTTTGGCTCAGTTTTATGCAGTTTTTGATTTGTGTTAAGTATGCTTTTATGGTTTCTTACAGTGTAATCAAACTGTCTTGAAATGATAATTATATCCATTTATTTGTTTATAAATTACTTGTACTCAGATAAGTCACTACTGTATATGCTTTTTTCAAAATTAGAACTTGTTAGGTACTCATAGTCTCTTTTTATTGTATTTGATAATCGTGAAGAAAATAATTTTAAAAAATTAAAATTTATCAGGATCTTATCTTGTCAACATATTCTTTACTAAGTACAGATTCTCTCTTGACAACATAACATAGGAGGGGTTCATACAAAGGGGGAGGGGTATTTTGACCAACACCTCACCAGATACTCTCAATCAATCTAAAGCTGCATACACCCAGAAGTAACACCTGTTGATAAAACTAACGCCTAAGAATTCTAGAACATAATTTTGCCTCAAATTTACCGTATTTAATATACACCATGTGTTGTCCAATGATAAAAGCTATAAGACAGTTATTGAGAAAGAGATGGCTCTTACAGAGAGACTCTCAGCAGATGGTTGAGTTTTCCATATCTCATATCTTGGGCCAAATTAAACATCTGCGCAATTCTACACCATCTCTTTTTGTGTACCCTTCTTCTATAAAGTTAATATCTAAGTATACAAATTGGTTGAATGGGTTTTAATATGCAGGAAATTACATTGACAAGAGTAAAGTAGATAAAAGGCTGTGTGTATATGTAGCTAAACAAATTCATTAGTCTCACTTAGCTTGGATGGCCGAGATGGTATCTTCTACCTAACACAGCAAGCCACTTAGAATTGCTCTTTAATTGAAAAGCTGTAACAATTTTGTTTTTTTAACTACAGTGCGCATTACGTGTAAGGAAATTAATGTCATATTTGTTTTTGTGCATCTGTCATAAAACCATTCTCAACTCAAGGTGCATCCCGTGCGTTTTCTTTGGGAGGAAATTTAAACTTGTCTCGCCAGTTGTGAAACGTGTGTCTCTCCAAGTTTGTTTCATCAAAGGAATTGCTATCAATGATAGTCTCTGTGTTTGTGAAGAATCCACCCAAGAATATAACTGTTTTTAGACCCTGTCTATTTTATCTATTTGGAGATTCAGTAATGCTAGGATCATAAATGTCTAACACTGGTGTTTGCGTAGTCTTTATCAAGCTTAATGGAGTGCGTATTTATCATTATGAATCGCTGAAGATTGGATAAGGAGACTGCATGTATGATTCTAGGATACTCTGTGTTTGTGTGTGTGTGTGTGTTCGTAGTGGGTCGTAGAGCGTCGTCTGAACAAACGGGGGTCTTGATTACTCATCGGAGCTACTCATGATAAATATATGCTTGATGAATTTACTGCTTTGACAGGTGGGAAGAAGACAATAATATCGCAGCAGGGACGCGGCTTAAACAGTTATTTACAAAGTAGCTGGATTTTTTTTTATTTGATGTATTCGCTGTTAAACTGTTGCAATGAGGAAGCGGGTCGTCAACTTTGATACCTTCGCTTGGTTTCGGAGATTGCAGGACAGATTCTTACTAGGTACTATTTACTTTATTTATTTTATTCATTAGTATTTTTTGTTAAATTTTAAAGATTTAGTTTTTTTAAGAAACTGTCATTTTCATTGTATCTGGATGTTGTTAAATATGTTAGAGTGACACATTGTTATTATAGATTAAAGTATTAACATCTTAAAAGTTTGTTAAGCCACTTCAGATTTCATACCAGAATTAGAAATGATAAGAAAATTTAAAAAGTGATCACAAAAGATATATTTTCAAAAGTCACATTAATTCCCACGGTGCTTGATTTAACATTTATTATATATTGCACTAAACAGAAAAGGAAAAAAGTCAGTTTTACTGAAGCTTAGGTATTACTTGAGAATGAAGTCGCCCAGTCCGTCACAGTTAGAACCGACATCCTATAAATTTGTTTAGGAACCTTCAACTTAAAGATATATTTTAACCAAGGTGTCAGCTCCACTAGCTGCCTCTTGTTTGACGTCTTCTCTGTGTAACATGTCCTAACTCAGTGTAGAAAAGTGATATAAGCACAGGCGAGGCAATTTAAGACGGCAGTCTGTTTGAGCGTTACAAAGTCTGCTGGGACAGAGGGTTTCCGTGGTAACGGCAAAAAAACAAAGATAAACCATCAGCCCAAGGATGTATTCTCAGGCCTAATTAAGTCCACATGAGTCTGCCAAGCTGAGGGGGGTAAGGTGCCATTTTTAACAGTCCCTGGTTGGTGGAAATTGAAAAAGATCTAAAAGTACAGAGGATCATCTTTTTAAACAAAGTGGAAGGGTGGGACTGGAGCTTCAAGACTAGAAGCCTCTTTCACAGAGGTTCTTTTTTTCTATTTGTTGCATTTTTTTCTTTAATTATCAGCGTAAAAGGTTGTGATACAAAACAAATGTTGATAACATGGTAAATTCAGTCTGACATGGTGCTTTATCAGCACAGTTCTTGATTTATCAAAAAAGTAAAGCAAATAGAAAGAAAATAACTTACACTGTACACAACATATGAAAATTAAAAATATATAGTATATCAACATTTAAAACTTTGTCATATTTACCAAGTTGCAGGATAGATGGAATGTTTATATACAAAATTTTTTGAACAAGTGAGCAGTAATAACATATTCACACATATTTACACTGAAAGAAACAAATTTCATTAAAGGAAGGAAATGTCTAGCAACTAGAATGCAAAAGTACTGTATTCTGAACAAATTTGACGTAAGACGTTTTAACATCAAGCCTAGGAAGTGCAAACTTGACCTTGGTAACTTTGGCAATTAAAAGTCCTGTCTTTTGAGCACAAAACATTTCAGCAGTGCACCTGGAAGTAAGTGCTTAACCTTTGTTACCTTGGCAATCGGAAGTCTTGGGGTGCGTTCACAATGGAACTATCATACGAGGGAGATTGATCCAGCTCAGTATCATACTTTCATTGTGAACACACCCTTGGTTATGTAGGAGAAAGCATATGTTATCCCTTATCTCCCCCACCCCCAACCTCCACCCCTCCCATTTTTTCCAACAGCTTAGCCCGAGATAACACTATGATGCCAAATCTGATGGGGTATTGCAATCAAGGATCTATTTCTTGAAATTTACACAGTAATAGTTTCTGTGAAAACCACCCTTATGGTGACGAGAGGCAACTAAAATGCAGGTTTGCGGCAGAGGGTAGGAAGGCAATTACCCGATCCTGCGGCAAGTGGTTGAATTTAGCTTCCCATGCACCACTTCAAAGTGCCATATGGTGGAAAAAAAACTAAAGTATCATCTTTTTAAACATAATAGATTAAAAAGATGATAGGTCAGTGAAAAGGCTAATGTAGCTAGTTTGGGGAGTTTTTTCTTCTGGCGAAGATCAAAGCGTAAAGACAAAAGCAGCCTTTAAGCAAAGAAGAGGAATAAATTTTCACGGCCACTGCAACTGAAGAATAATGATAAAAATGTCTGTCACTGGGAAAATTTACTGATCACATGTGCCAGTTGAAATTATTGCATTTTAGACTGTCTGTGTCTGTAGCAGAAAAATAATAATTGATAAGACTATTTGGCCCTTTTTTTATTTAGAAATAAATCATATTTCCCTTGAATGATGGCTTGATCTTCATTTGATATATGCCTCTGTATAATAATTAAACAGTGGTATTCTGATATGATGGAATAGTTGGCTTAATTGCTAACTGTTAATGTTGTAGTGGGTATTCTGTTTTATTTAACAGGGTGGATTGATAAGAAAAGTAGGATAATGGTAGTGGAAAAGATTGCCAGGGGTGGGGGGGGGGGAGGGTGAGGGAGATAGAGGGGTAGAGGGGAAAAGTTGTTAATAAAGTAGAGTTATGTATGACTGTTGTGTATATGACATCTTGGTCTCTCAATCTTGGTTTTCTCTGCATTCATGGGGGTAAAATAATGCAACTTGTATCATCACTAAGGTTATTTTCTATTAGTCTCATTTAATAACTTATTTGATGTTTTTGATACACTTCTTGGCCATACTGCAACACTAATATTAATCTCTTTTAGAATATCATTTTCTCGTTTATCATTTGAAAAATGAAGTTCCCTTTTTCAAGCCATTTAACAGTACAGAGAGTCTCCTTTTTGTAAATATATCTTTTTACACCAGACATTGTTTAAATTTCCTCATTCTTACACATCATCATGTATGGAAGGGAAGGCTTTTAAAATCATTGGAAGAAAAAAACAGGCATAGACAATCTGTCGTTTCTTGCAAACATCAGAAACATAAACTTAGAGAGCAGATGCGGCTGACACTCAGCTTTTTTCTGCAAAGTTCTGTGGGAAAATTGCTGAAGATGCCTTTCTGCAAGTGTTTGCATTGTCAGTGAGAGTGGTAAAACAAGTGGCAAAAAATGCAGCAAAGATAGCAATTCCATCAGCATTTGGGTTGTAACTATCAGTTGTGGGAAAAGGATTCTGACTACCATGTTGATTAAATTTACATTGTCACCGAGAGGGAAAAATGAGGAAAAAATTAACAAAACAAAAATGATAGTGATATTGATGTTTCATTGGAGGGGATTCATTGGTGGGAATTTTAATGATGGGACCATGTTGCTCAAGTTTGCATTGTTCATGAGATAGTAATTTTCATTAATATTTTTTTGATTACTTAACATTGATGATAGCAAGTTTTTTCCTATAGGTTTTGATTATAAGATACACAAGGTCATGCCAGATTAACCTGTTACAAAAAAAAAAAAGGTTTAGTAGCAAATAGTAAATTAAAAATGCCACTCCTTTGTAATGGTTTCTATGCATAGTCTCATCCAATGGTCATTGTTCGGACCATTTCATCAGGGGACAACAAAAGGGGTTTTGGGGTAAGATTGTTGGTTCAAGTGTGCACCTCTTTCTGAATTCAAAACCAGAGTGAAATAAAAAAAAATTAAAAATATTCCAAGAAAAACTTGAGATTCTTTTGCAGCTTTTGTTTATGTGTGATGCTTTCATTGGAATCGTAGGAATTGCAGGCGTTCTGTATCTGGATATGAACAACAAAAATGCCAAGACTTGTCTTAATTCATTTTACTCCCCTTTTTGGAGCTTGCTTTGGGATATTTTTTGTAGGTATATTGTGAAATTTAGACACATTTATAGGAACTTTCTCATCCATTTTTTTTTGTCGACTCCTGCAAATCATTCACAGTTTTACTTAAAAGCAGTTTGTCAGTATTATATTCCAAGCAAACCAACTTAAATTTTTAGTGATTTCTTTGGGGGAGTATTGTAGTAGATTGATTCTGTTTGATAGGAAGTCTATAATGATGCTTGCATGCAGTATTCAAGTTCCATGTTTACCAGCAAAAATGATAACCAAAACTATAAGATGTAAAAAGAAGAAAAGGGAAAAACACACCTTAAGTTGGTCGAAAAGAGTGGAAAAAGTAAAAAGAAAAAGAAAAAAAAAGAAAAAAAAATTGCCAGACAGACACCAGAAGTTAACAATATAAAACAGAAGACAGAGAACCACTTGGCTGAACCTTGAGATGAACTCTGATGATTGAAACCCCATAAAAAACACAAGACAATGTCAAAAAAATGGGAAAACTGATGCCGATTGAAATTAGCCCCGATGCCAGATAAAAGTGACATCGCTGATAGTAGCAACAAAATGGCAGATGTACCCAACCATGACTCTTCTATTGAATTAAATTTCACTTTGACTATAACTCAGAGTAATTGAATAGATAATTTTTTCTGCTGGGCCAGTGCCATCGCAGTCATGGAAAGATTGTTTTCATTGAAAAATTGTGTATCTTTGTTTTATCTGTATAATCAATTTTAGCAGTCTACAAAAACAGATAAAATATACATTTCAGTGAAAAGAAAGTGATACTATAATGGAAAATGGAATTTGTGAGTTTGTTTCAGTTATCACAGTGTAGATTTGTGCAGGGCTACATGAAACCTCAGCAACAATTATGATCATCTGCAAAGAATTAACAGTTGCTTTCAAAACACTTCAAAAGTTACCATGTTGAAATTTATAGTTTATATGTAAATATATTTATCAGCATTTTCAAAAATACTTCCATGTCAGTTTTATGATTTCAAATATTAAAAACCTCAATTCTTCTTTCTAGCTGAAAATGAAGAGCAGCATTTGGATCATGATGCACATGCAGAAGATCACGATACCCTGCGACTGCAGGAACAAGAATGCAGCATCATGAACCATAACAACAACGTTGATGAAAGTCAGCATACTGATGAGGACACCTTCTCAGAATCTCCGTCCGATCTGTCCCACCACCCTCCAGTTTATATTCCGGAAGACATTCCAATACCAGATGATTTTGAGCTTCGAGAATCCAAAGTTTTTTCAGGGTTAGGGGTCTGGACCAGGGTGGCAGTAGAACAGGGAGAGAAGTTTGGTCCTTTTGAAGGGATACTCAAGACTTCTGTCTCCGACCCATCCAGTGCTTGGGAGGTAGGTGGCAGCACGATAGTGGCTTGTCTTGTTTGATATCTCCATTGCAGGGTATATATTTTTAAATATAACATTGCATCATGTCAAAAACTTACTTTTCTCATTCAATTTATTAAAAATGACTTTTAATAAAAGGAAGGATGGTTGATAGAAAAATACATTAGTCTATCCAAATTTTAAACCACTCGGAAAGGTGCATTTTCATTAATATGGACCCATCCATCAAAAAGATTTAGTTGGCATGCATTGAAACCATAAATTTGCTTAAATACAGTATATAGGGTGTTGTCCCTTAACTGATACGGAGGGGGTTAAAAAGTGGGTTTCTTGATTGTTAAGATACAGTGTCAACTGAAAGATTATGAACACAGAAATGACAAATTATCAATGTCCAGGGTAATACAGCTGTGTACTGAGAAGATGAAAGGGAAGAATAAAGGGAGAAAAACTTCTCAACTTCTTCTTTGTCGTTTAAAATAATTAAGAAATGCTCTCCAGGTGTCTCTGTAGGGTTCATGCTCTGTTAGTTCCATCATTTTGATTTAACGATTGAAAAAAGCAGTGCATCAGCAAGTCGTCTGTGACAAAAACATGCGATGACAGCATATTTTTTTCTCAGCGCAAATTGATTAGAATTTCACTTTGTACTCTGGTGTCCTGTGAATTATCAGGCAATACTTTGGATTGGCCCAGACTGGCGTCAAAGGAAACCTGTTTAATTTGATGACAAAGAATAAAAAAATGTGACAGTAATAATTGGTTATAGATGTGTTACTGTTGCTGCGTGGGATTATTTGCTTAGAACATATTTACCGTAGAGGCAGTTACAGCTAGGTGGAGAATATTTTTCCAGTAGCACTGTTCAAATTTGCTGGTATCAAATCTTAAGAGGCTTGAAAATGAATATTAGATAATGATGATTTAAGAAACTAAAAATACAAAGAGACAAAATACTTTTAAAAACAGATTTTGTAAAAATTTATGACTTGAATGAAGTGGCGTGTCTGACACTGAGTGACACGATTTACTACAGAGAGATGGATGGACCAAAGAGCAAAGCAACTTTAAAGATAATTGAAGGATTTCTTCAGAGTCAAAACAACTCTTTTAATGAGTCCAAAATTAATGTTGCCATCGTAACTAGATGACAAAAACACATAACACAAACTTCTTAAATTTCTTTTAAAAACTTCCCAGTCAATTGAACTGTCTCCTACTCATGAAACATTTAGGGACTCATTGTGAACTTATAAGATAACTTGTGATGACAGAAAATGTAAACAAGCCTGTAAACATTGGGACTGATTTTATTTGACTGATGACTGCATTGTTCCTTTTTTCTGCCAATGTTCAAACATTTTAACTTCACAGTATTTATCAGGTCTTTCCATTCTCATCATAAGAAGAAAGTATTATTTAGCTTGAATGTATTACTGGTTGATAGTGATCAACCTTGAATTCAGCAGGCAATTTCTGTGTGTGTGTGTGTGTGTGTGTGTGTGTGTGTGTGTGTGTGTGTGTGTGTGTGTGTGTGTGTGTGTGTGTGTGATTTGACTTGGAGGGAAAAAACATTTCCTTATCTTTCCTAAAAAATGAATTTGGCAGGCATGGATAGTTGATGGTCATTGGATCTTTCTGGTCCCTAGCTTGACCCAACCTTTAGGGCCTTAGAGACCAATTTAATGTTTAGAGAGGTGTCCCCAGTCGGTAGTCATTAAAAGTGACAGGATACGAAGAGGCTGCTAATCCACTGTAACATATTTTGGGAGCAGTCGTTGGAGCATGAGAGGATAAAAAGTGAACGACTACAGCTCAATTAGACAGTTAATCTAAATACCCTGTGTGGATTTCTTTTTATTTATTTGCATTTTTTGTGAAGGGAGGAGGGTAAGTGGAGCAATGGATGGCAGGCCATTTTTTTTTTTACTTGAAGCTAGTGGTTGAAGATGGGGGCAGGTACAATCGCAATGAATTGAGGTGGATTTAGGGTGCTTCATCATAACTTGTGAAGTATTCTCCTTTGTTCATATATTATTTTTTATTCAAAGACAAAAATTGCCCCAGGGTAAGCAAGAAAGAAAGGAAAGCACAAAGTTACAGAGTTATTTTTTTTTTTAAGTTTGAGTTGCCACATTGGTGCTTTAAAGTAATTAATTGACATTTATGAGGTGAGTATAATAAGGATGGTGTTAATTTATAGACTAAATCAAAAAAGAAAATAAAAAAAAATACTGATTTGGCTGAGTTATTGGCTTCTGGAATGTTGAAAAATGTCTAAGGATCTTTGTATTGAAAGGAACCCTGATGCACCTTGTATGCAACTTGTTCATGGAACAAACTGCTAGCTATTGTTGTAATAGTCAGGGGTCAGATGGGCCAGTTCTTGAACCACATCCCTGTCTGTCCAAATTCAAAACCCTCTGTTGGTAGCACAAGTTTTCATGCCCTCGGTGGTACAATATCAAAGTCTTGTTGTCAGAAGTGGTTGCCTTGGTAACCTACCTGATTAGTTTGCTGTGTGCTGAGGATGGGTTAACATTGAGAGTTCATAGCACTTCAGCATTTAAGACCATACTTAATGAATTAAATTTTCATTCCAAAACCGCCCTTGTCTTGACACACCCTTGCAATCTTAAAACTGAAAGTGTCAATTCATCCTGGTTCATGTGCCCTTAACTTTATTTTTTCTGATCAGTTAGTACAATTGCTGGATTGTGAGCCATCACCTGTTTTCTATTTGGAGATAAAAAACTTAATGGCTCCTGATAGATGATGGATCCTATACAGCCTAGGTGCCAGTGGGAAGGAAAGTGAGTCATCCTCAAGATTATCTCTGTAAAGTGGTCGCTCTTCTTTCTTAATTTAGGATTTCAGGTTAATTGAAAACCCCACACTTTGTTTTTGTTCTAAGTTTAAATGTCATTTTAAACTTTGTGGTTTTGGTGGTTTTCTGGTATGGTTATTTTTTTAAGAAAAAGGTCTTGGGATGAAGAAAAAAAAACAGAATGAAAAAGCTTCTTTTAATTACCAAATACGGTTTCCATGAAAATCCACGTACTCTTTTAGAACAATCAAACACTCAAATATTTTTGATTCATTTTTTATTTTGAATTCATTTAATCTAATGTTAATTTTTTCTGACCTGTTTAATACCCCAAAAAAAAACTTAAAATGGGTTGCCTTGTTTGCTGGCTGTCTCTCCCCAAAACTGCATGATCAACTTTGAGGCTATCTGACCTCTGTGCCACATGCCTTGTGATTGGGCACAGAGGTCACAGAGGTCATAGGGGTCAGCTGAGGTCATGTTGTGTCTCACAGCAAACTTGAGAGAGAGAGAGAGAGAGAGAGAGAAAGGTGGGGGAGGGAGAGAGAGAGAGAGAGAGAGAGAGAGACAAGGGAAGTAAAATAGTCTTCTCATTAAAATACTGCACCCTTGTGTTTTATTTTCCCAATTATATGTTATTAAATGGACAAGGAATTAAGATAAACATAAATGAGATAAAATGTCAGGCTGTTTCAAAAGAGAAAGTAGCAACATTTTATTTTTCTCTACAGACAAATATCCCGTTCTTCAGAGCATTGGAAATTTGTAAGAGATAAGATCATACAGTCAAGAAGTATTAAAAAGTTGCAAACTGGTAGCCATCCTCCTTTCCTTCAAGTATGGTATGGGGTCTCAATCCCACTTAAGTCTTGGGTAAACAAATACTATCTTGGTTGGGTGGGGAAAGGTGTGAATCATTTTAACATAGCACTAGCGGATCTCTATCACTGGGCTGTGTAAGAGTTCTGCCAAAGGTCACTGACAGAACTTCAGACTTTTTTTAATCAGCAGATATATTTAGTTCATTTCTAAATGACGCTGAGATAGCTTCAGTATATATTAATTTTTTTTATTCATCTTTTTAATTACTTGTTGATTATACATGTTGATGATACTTGATGCTGTATTATAAATGGCACAAATTTTAGTGATTAACTGTACATCTTGAGTTTGGTGTAGAAAATTATGGGCACTGTTTAATTTAAAATATAGATGTAATTATAGGCCATTTTTAAAATTTGTGTCAGTACTGATACTCTTGTAATTTACATCAAAGAAGAGTCCATAAGTTGTTTTAAAATCCCTGCCTTCTACTCTTCTCATGGTTACTGTCAACAGAATTTATCAATATCGACTGTTTCCAATTTATATCATCTTCCAAACAACTTGAGTGCCATTCCTGCTGCTTATCGAGAGTATCGTTTAGAATAGATAAGAGAATGACACAAAATGAGACAGTTGCTCCGCCAGTGCTAACTGTAACCAGTCTAACAGATTACCTGGTCGGCAAGGCTGGTCGGCAATGGAGATATTTACCTCTCTATGATTGAGAGATATGAAACTTAATCATCTTTTTGAGAATCGATATATTTTAATAATTGATGCACGTATGGGAAACACCTTTTTATTTGCCACTGCTAATTCCTTTAACAGAAAGTTAGGATGGCACTGATGATGAAGTAATATCCCTAATAGTGTTTTTATTTTGGATAAGATATTTTTACTCAACAATGAGATTAAGATTATATATATTTATATTTGTTAGTAGAGCAAACTATTGATGAGCATAAGACAGATTTAGCTGTGAAAAAAAGATCAGAGGCTTTAATTTTTTTTTGAATCATTTTGCAATCTGAATTTTTTAATCACATTTTATTGTACTATTAGTAATTTATAACAATGATATGGTCAATTTATTAATGCAGTGAAACATCTTTATTTAAATAACTGTGACCCCCCACTCCCACCCTCTACCCCCTAAAAATTCTATAATGGTTTTTCTTTTTTATGAAATTTTTGAAAACTAAGTGATCAACATTAGGCCCTATAAATCCAGGTATCAATCTTTCTTTTTTAATTTCTGAAAATGAAGAGAGAGAATAGTTGACTGTACAACATGCAATATTGCTACGGTTTTTCAGACGATCATTGCTCATAATGACAAGAATTACCACTT